TTTTCTCATTTTACTGACTTGGCATTATGACATTGACCACTAATGGTGTACTTTCCCCGTCTGCCTTTCATGAGATGGAAGCTCCTGAGAACAGGGTCATGTCTGTCTGTTCCTCATCATACGCAGGTTCCTGTCCTGGGTCTACAGGTGGCATCATACAGTTAACAAGGCATTAAGACCATTTTGTGGAGTATATGAAAAGGCTGTTCTAGAAGAGAACCATGGATTGGGGAATCCAGAGGAGGAAGCCATGGCTGCTTCTGGTTCCCAGAATGAGGTGACAGGTGGGCTGCCGAGAAGGGTGAGGAGATACCTCCTGATAAGAATGATGATTTTAGTAATACCTGCCAGTACCACTTTGTGTTTTGTGACTATTTGGTGGGTCCTTTTATCCAGGCCTCCTACAGCTGGGCTGGGTAGGGATCAGCCCTATTTTACAGGTAACATCAAAGCTGAGACACCTGAGGCCCCTTGGCCAGTGAGGGTGACCTGGAGTTTGATCTAGTCACTTGGGAAGTTGCTCCTGTCTCCACACCTCAGGGGGAAGGGCAGGAGAGGAACTGACCAGCTCTAATAATGAAGGTGTGTAACCTGCTGATGACCGGGAGTGATTTAACCAACCCCTGCAATAGCCCAGCAAGGTGGGAAGTCGTTGAGATGGGCCTCGCTATGTTGGCCTTTAACTCAACTCTTCTTCCCTCAACCTCAGTAGCAGGGACTCCATGCCTACTGCTTCCTGCTGGGAAGTCTTTCTAATCCTTAGGTTGAGTCCTGAGTAGGGAGTGGGAACCCCGGCTCCAGCCTCTGAAGTTCAGTGCAGCAGAACTGGGAAGGGCAGTGAGATGAGCCAGGCCTGGGTGTGACCCCCCATATCACCCCCAAGGAGGCCCTGAAGCCAAGCTGCTCCTCCTGCTCCCAAGTTGCCCCTCCAATACCCCGCAGAGGGCGTGGGGAGGGCCTGGTGCAGGTGACAGGTGAATGGGGAGGGAAGGTGGGGTGGTAATAGGAGTGGGGGCAGCGGAGATGGGAAGTTGGGCTGCACATTGAACACTCCCCGCCCCACGGTGGGCCATCCCCTCCCTGTGTGGAGCTCTCCTGCCCCCTGGAGGCCATTGGAAGGGTCACCCTGTTGTTCCCATTATAGTGCTTGTTAAAGTCTCAGAAAGGAGGAGCTGCTGGATCCAGAGGGTTCTAGATGTGGGTGCAGGGAGCAGGATTAACCCTCACTGAGCTCCCACTAGGGGCCTGGCACTGCTTTGTACAATTTCATTTAATCCTCAGAGCTTCCCTAAGGAGTAGCTGTTCCTATGCCAGTTTATAGGCGAGGAAGAGGCTCTGAGAGGTGAAGTGGCTGCCTGAGGCCACACAGCAGGCAAGGCTCACGTGGGCTCTCAGGCCTCCTGGGTGTGGAGGGAGAAGTTACTGATACGGGGATCCTTGTGTGACAAAAGAAATGACATCGCGGCCTTTCCCGGGATCGGCCACCGGGGGCGCCAATGAGGAGAGAGGGCCTCCGGGCCTGCACCAGAGCAGTGGGCAATGGGCAGGCTCTGGGCCTCTCTGGAGCCTCCCAAGGCCTCTTCTGCACACTCGCGCCCGGGGACGTTGTTCCTGTCTGCGGCTGCCGGTGAACCCGGAGTCCAGCTGCACAGCAAGGCTCTGTGGGCCCGGGGCTGCTGAGAGCCTGGACACCTCCGGCATGGTATTGTCATGCGGGCCCCTGGCCTACCTGGCCTCCACCGGTTGGACTTGACCTGGCCAGCAGTGGGAGCCTCCCTCCAGAGACTCCCCTCATGCCTGGGGCGTATGGCCCAGGGATCCTTCATCTTTCTTCATTTTAGCCAGCAAGGAACCAGACCACCAATGAGGTCTGCCTCCCAGGAGGCCAGAGCCTGTTTCCTTTTCTGCCTTTCCCTGCCCCAGTCTGGGTTGGAAGGCCCTGAACCCCTCACCTGCACCCTCACCTGCGTCCTCACCTACCCTCTGGGCGGTGGAGACCTGAGCTGAACCCAGACAGGAGTGGGAGCGGTTGCAGCCTGCAGCTTCACACTTGGAGGTGTTCTCCCTCGGGTCCTCTTCTGACATCAGTACTTTTTACAATTGAAGATATTGAAGCAGCCGCACTGGCTCCCAGGGAAGCTGCCAAATCTCCCCGCCAGCCATGGTTCCTCATCTGCAGTCTGTCCCACCTCTTGATGCCGGGCACCTCTGAGTCTCTGGAACCATGCTGGGCCTCTCAGGCCCCTGGTTCTTCCCTACAGTTCGGGCTTCTCTTTTCTAGAAGGATTTTTGTATGGGGCTCACTTCTTCCCTCCAGATTTCCCCAGTCTGCTTCAGTGACCAGCAGTCCCTCCCAGTCACACCCAGGGACACTGACTGCCAGACCTGCTTCCCACCTGGTTCTCCTCAGCGGTGGAGCCCTGGTAGCCAATGGCACCCTGGACGTGGGCCCTGGTGTCTGGGAGGCCTGCAGAGACGCTTGCTTGAGGTGATGGTGCCATCATTTTCCTGGCCTGTTTGTCATGGGACCAGGTGTGGGGTCAGAGAAAGAACTGAAAGGAGGAGGAGAAAGGCTTCCCTACCCGGCAGCTGCAGTTAATCCAGGAATATTTGTCCTTGATGTCCTAGCATCACCTTAGCCTCAGTGTGGCCTTTTCATATCTTCAGGTTCCTGACTAGGAGAGCTCATCTGGCAGCAAGCTCTGGGGGCCAGGAGAAACATCACAATGTGTGTGTGTGTGTGTATGTGTGTGTGTGTGTGCACACCCACATGCATGTGTCCACAGGGGCTTTTGGGAACAGAAAGCCCCAATGCTGTGGGAACTGGGTAAGGAGGCAGGCTGGGGTGGGAAGGATGGGAAGGCTCGTTCAGTAGTCATCAGAGCCTCCTGTGATGATCTAAGAACTGAGCTGAGCTCCTTTAAGGGAGGGCCTTTAACAATGACCTTCAAAAGGGTCAGGCATGTTCTTTGAAAGCCAACTTTGGTAGGGACAATGGGTGGAGCTCCCCACCCTCCCCAGACCCTTGAGGGCTCTGGACTTTAAGAAGGAGGTCACCATGGACTTTGAGGCCCACAGCAGTGGGATACTGGCAGGACCCATCTCTGACCAAGGCTGAGCTTTAGGCTCCCCCGTCTTCTTCCCTGTGGCCAGGCTGTGGTTCTCCCTCAGCCCGCCAGCACCACTGTCACAGGTCACAGGGCTGACCCTACTCCCTCTCCCTGATGTCCTGGGATTCATAAGACTGATCATCCCTAACAGGTCCCAATTTTCTGCTCCAAAGACCTGCCAACTCCTTAGTTAAGTCCTCATGCAAACCAGATCCTTTCATTCAATGCCTTCTGGAGGAACCTCTCCCTGGCCCTCCAGGCACACCCGGGTTGCCCCTTTCTGCTCCCTGCCTGGGTGGTCCAGCACCCTGGCCCAACTCCACAGCCACTTTCCACAGGAAGCCTTCCTGTCTTCCCCAGTGGGTATCCCCCTTTAACTGTCCTCTCAAGACCAGGCCTTTACTTGTCCTGGGGCCTGGTCCCACACCCCATTTTATTTTCATAAGACTGTGATTCTTCACCACAGTGACCCTAATCCTGGCACAAAGTAGGTACTGAGGAAAAGTCTGGTGCATATACGAATGAATGGGGGACTTCAGGCATTTTTTATTTTTATTTTGTTAAGGGGAGAGAGAGAGAGAGAGAGAGAGAGAGAGAGAGAGAGAGAGAGAGAGAGAGAGAGAAGATTAAAACCAGTGGGGCTTAATCACTGAGCCATATCCCAAGTCCTTTTTATTTTTTTATTTTGAGACAGGATCTTGCTACTTGTTAAGTTGCTTAGGGCCTTGCTAAATTGCTAAGGCTGGCCTCAAGTTTGTGATACTCTTCCCTTAGCCTTCCAAGTCACTGGGATTACCAGCTTGAACCATTACACCCAGTTAAAAAAATTTTTTTTCAGACAGGGTCTTGTTTGTTGCCCAGGTTGCCCTTGAGCCCCTGGGCCTAAGTGATCTTCTCACCTCAAACTCCTAAGTAGCTGGGACTACAGGCATGTGCTGTTGTACCAGGTTCAAGGCATTTTTTTTTTTTTAGAAGCCCCTGGTTGAGCCGTCATGGATATTGAATGAAGATCATCAGAGCAGGTTCTGCTCTCCGTAGTGTCCTGACACTCATGATCAGAGGCCTAATTTTCTCAAGAAGTTTAACTCTTGTGTGAGCTTTAAAATGGAGTCTGTGACAAATAATTATCACCTAGCATTACTCTGGGCCAAGCTGTGTCCCTGATCCTGTTTCATCTGCAGGCTCCAACTCTAGCCCATCCAGGGCTCAGCCTGCTGGGATTTGGTAGCCCTTGCTAGGCTTCCATGGGCTCTGAACCTTGGCTTGTCTTGATCATTTTCATGAGGGATTTTGTCCTTGATGTCCTAGCATCACCTGCCCACTCCCATCTCATGCTGATAACTCACAGGAACTAGAAGTTATGGTTTGGATATGAGGTACCCGGCAGCTGCAGTTAATCCAGGAATATTCAGAAGTGAAATGATTAGATTATAAAAGCTGTAATCTAATCAGTCCATCCTAGTTTGAATGGACTGACTGGATGGTAACCATAGGAGGTGGGGTGTGGCTAGAGGAGGTGAGTCACTGGGGGCATGGCCAGACTGGTTCGTCTTCCTTGCAGCCCCTTCCCCCTCTGTCTCTGCTTCCTGACCCCTCCATGAGCTGAGCAGCTTTCCTCTGCTGGGTCCTTCCCTGATGATGTGCTCAGGCCCAGAGCGATGGAGTGGTTCATCTATGAAACTGTGAGTACCAAATAAACTCTCCCTCCTTTAAGTTGTTCTTTTTGGGGCATTTCGGCCAAAAAGCTACGAAAGCTAAACACTGGGCATTTCTTAGACTCCTCTGGCCCAGGTGGGCCTGCCTGCCTGCTTTCGAGAGTGTACGCTATTGAGCAAACTGGCATGTATACGCATGTGCCCCCTCCCCCACAGAGCTGGAAGGAGACACTGCTGAACCAGAAGGACCAGTTTTATTAGATTCCAGCAAGACTATACAGCACGTTTCATGCAGATTAACTGTGTCTTCGCTGCCCTGGGAGGGGAGGAGCCCTTCCACGGCCAGCTCCTTTGATGGTACATCAAGGGGTGGGGCATCAAGGGGACCCTTCAATATATTCTGCATGAGGGACAGTTGGGATCATGACAGGGGGTGGAGGTGAGATAGTGGGCAGCTGAGGGCCCCTGGGGCCTTGAGTCTTCAGAGGCTCAGGAACCGTAGGACCTGGGTCCTTTGCTGGTGCTGGCACCAGAGGATCTTGATCCTTCAGAGGCACCTGGGTTATAGGAATTTGCTTCTTCATAGGCTCAGTGACCATGGGGACTTGATTCTTTGGAGGCTCGGAGACCATAGGACCTTGATCCTTGGCTAGTGCTGGGATAATAGGGTCTTGGTGCTTCATAAACTCATGGAACACAGGGCCTTGATCCTTTACAGGTGACATAACCACAGAATCACGACCCTTCAGATGCTCAGTGACCACTACATCTTGACCCTTGACTGGCTCTGGGGCTGCTAAACTTTGACTCTTTCCAGGCCCAGAGACCATAGGACCTTCACTCTTTATAGGTGCTGTGACCATGGCACTTTGATCCTTCTGATGCTCCGGGACCAAGGGACCTGGATCCTTAGCAGGTGCTGGAACCACAGGACTTTGATCCTTCAGAAATGCTGGTACCATGGAACCTTGATCTAAAACTTTAGCTGGAACCATAGGACTTTGGTTCTTCACAGGCTCTGGGATCAAGGGACCTTGGTCCTTGGCTGGTTCTGGGACCATGGAACCTAGATCCTTGGGAGGTTCTGGGACCACAGGACTTTGATCTTTCAGGGATCCTGGTACCACAGGATCTTTATCCTTTGGAGGTCCTGGGACTACAGGACCTTGATCCTTTGGAGGTTCTGGGACCACAGGACCTTTATCCTTCAGAGGCTCTTGGACCACAGGGCCTTGACCTTTCAGCAGCCCTGGGATTATAGGACCTTGATCCTTTGGAGGTCCTGGGACCATGGGACCTTGATCCTTTGGAGGCTCTTGGACCACAGGGCCTTGACCTTTCAGAAGCCCTGGGACCACAGGACCTTGATCCTTGTCTGCCTCTGTGGCTACAGGACCTTGATTCTTATGTGTCTCTCCGGCAGGTTGGACTGGGCTCCTGCAAAGGAGAAAAAGGTGGTCACTGTGAGGACAGAACTTGGGCCAGGGATAAGGCAGAGCACAGATTGCCTGATAAAACTTGGCCTAGTGGAGCTTGGGCAGGGCAGTCCTTATTGGTGAGGCAGGAGGAGAATCTGATTTCTGTGTTAGTGAAAAATGTGGGGTGGGTGAAGGGCAGGAACCAGTCATTCAATGTGTTTGCCAATTGATTATAACCTGCACGTGGCACAGGGGACAGTGCCTGGGTGACAACGGCAGTACTGCAGCTGGACTTGGAGTCATCCAGTGGGCATCCCAGTAGCCAGTCCAGCCCACACTCCACCCAGGCCCCTACTTATCCCTCGAGGCTTGCTGGTCCCATCCTGGGGCCATCTTAGCCTTCCATTCAGGTGACCCTACAGGCTGGACCACTCCGTCCTTGTTTTCAAGGACTTCCAAGTTTCTTTTCTCCCTGTAGCATTAAGAGCTGATTTCTGGGAAGGGCAAGGGGTCACCACATAGCATGAAAGGGGGTAGTGGGAATGTCTTCCTTCTCGTAAAGGGAAAAGTACTTATTACCAATATTTTTTAGAATGGTAAGCACATGATAATAATACAAACTAGATCGACTTTTAACTAGTTCCATTATTGCTTTTCAGTTTTCTAGAGACAGTACACCCCATTATTTCCTACAACACTCCCACCACACCCCACTTCTGGTAGGCAACTGGCTGGGACTCCCCATTCAGGCAGTGAGGGGGGCCTGTCCCTCCCTCTGTCCCCACTTGCATTTCCTCTACTCTCCTTGAACCCTTGCTCTCTCTTGCTCCAAAGCTTTTGTACTTATTTCCTGTAGCCAAGAGTCCTCACTGCAGCCACCTCCCCATCCTTTGACTCACCCACCTGCAGAGAGCATGTGACAAACACTGCCACACTCCGGCCTGGCCAGCTCTCACCCCTTCCTCGAAGGCCAGACTAAAAGCCACCACTCAAGAGAGGTATTGCTCAACTGGCGCCACAGACCCTGGCACCCCTGGGCACATGACGCCTTCCAAATCACTTCTCATATCTCATTTCAGAACACGGCAGCCCTAGGAAGCACATGGTAGGATTTTATTACTCTAGATTTTAAATGAAGAAACTGAGGTCCAGAGAGGGCAAGTGAAGAAGGCAGTGAGGGGACACCAGGGACTAAGGTCTGGGTCTTTCTGCCCTGGGATTGATCTGTGGTCTTTCCTGCTCCAGGGTCTGTCACAGAGCAGGTGCTCAGTGCAAGGGAGCTCTAATTATTAGTCTTCTACTCTTCACCACAAGGTTCGTGAGCTTAGAACCATGTCAGCATCTTCACAGGTCCTCCCAGGCTTTCAGGAATAGTCTTACCTGCTTCTTGCAGCTGCTCCAGTGACACCTCCACCTGGCAATGCTTCCTCACCTCATTATGGACTAATCTCTCTGGGCCTCCCTTGTCATCTATTGGTTGGGAATAGTGAAATTCCTCCCAAGTTTGTGATGATAGAGGTCTGCACACAGAGTGCTTGGTACCAAGGTAGGATTGAGCAGTTTTATGATTATTTTTTCTATTTTTGTGCTTAGAAGTAAAATTACACAAATTTGGGCTGTTTTTCTTCTTCTAAGTCGTGATCTAGAAGGTTTTCACTGAATTTGGCATCTCAAGCTGCCTAGGGGCTGACCCCTGTCATCGGGGTCCACTGTGGCAGGCAGTCTGTCTGTCCAGTTCCCTCGCTGTCTCTGAGTATCACAGTAGCTGGGAGAGCTGAAGGAGGCCTCCTGGCTCAGCACAAAGCGCAGTTGTACTGGCCATGAGGACAGAGCCAGGAGTATGCAGGATCCAAAGATGATATTAAAACCATTCTAGTCATTGGTAGCTAGCCAGAGAGGAAAATGAAAAACTGAATTCAGAACAGAATCAAGCAGGGAATCGATTAGAGGTATCCTCTCAGGCCTTTAGTGACCTGGGCACAGTCTTCTTGATGGGGTGATAAAGCTCAGAGGGGGCAAAAGATGGTGACCAGGGTTAAGCCTGATCTCAGGGGCTTGGGCTACAGAACTACCCCATTGGCAGGCCATGGGAGTGCCCTGTTGGCATGGAGATCATAAACAAGCCTGGCTCCTCAGCTATAGCCTTGGGCAGGAAAGAGTTTCTCTGGATGTTTGTGGCATTGCCTCCCATGACACCCCCCGAAACCTCAGTCTAATAAGCACTCTCAGCCAGCTGTACACTAACCCCAAAATTGCAGGGATCAATAACCTTGTATTGATTTGATTAGTAAATACTTTCCCTTAGTAGCTAAATGTCTTTAATCATGGGATAGTTTAGAATTAAGATTAGAACTGATAAGTTAATCGCAAACTGTTAACTTTTTATTGTATTAACTTTAGGAAAAATCTGCTTTGATTTAGCTTGAAACTATGTGTAATGTTTAAGATACTTTGTCATCTTAGAATAATAGATTCATCTTGTGATCATGTAATAGAATAATTAAGTTAGAATGATAATTTATTTTAGTTTTTCTTATGTACTTTTTTCTTTTTATAAGGAAGTTTGTAATATAATCAGGATATTAAATGAATAACTAAAACCCTTTTGGTGCCTGGGCATGGTGGCACACGCTTGGGTCCCAACCACTGGGTATGTTAAAATGGGAGGATCGCTTGAGCTCAGGAGTTCCAGACCATTCTGGGCAACATAGTGAGGCTCTGTCTCAAAACAAACCCTTTGCCACTTACCATGAAAGCCTGAACATTTACTTCCTATATTTTATCATGAAATAAAATCTAGGGGTAAGAGTGTTTGCCTGGCAATGGGTCCCTTTGTTGGGCAATTTTAAAATAAGCAATGTTGGATCTTTTAAGTAAGAAGACCAAATAGCAGAAACTCTTTTAACTTTTCTTCATGTTGAGAAAAGCAAAATTCAACTTCTTTGTACTATCGAAAATTCTGGTGGATGGGACTTGAGAAGAAAGTAAATAGCATTAAACCCTTCAACCAGCTGCCGTCATGGCATCTGATGAGATAGAAGGAAAGGGAGACGGGACCGACATGTTTTCAGGGCACTTTGGGGAAGAAAAGCTTCTGGCTTTGCCCTGGCCCTGCTGGTGACAGATTGGCAGGCTGTTTCCTGCACAGGTCTAGGCAAGCCATTGATCTATTAAATGAGACTTGTAATTTAAAGTTGAAAAATATAAGACAGCTATAAAAACAATAATGGGACTTTTGTGACAACCTGATACCCAACATATTTTTATGCTCCATTTATTTTAAAGTATTTATAATTTAACTTAAATTATTTAGGGGAGTTGAATTAAGTTATAAATAAGGTTCTTCCTAACAGACATTGTTACATCCCACTGGATTTTTTACTTTCTTACTTTTATAAATTAAGCATTCTTTTTTAATCCTGCATACTCCTTTTTTTTTTTTTTTTCCTTCTTGTTGTGGTGCTTTGAACTCATGGCCTTGTGCATGCAAGGCAAGCACTCTACCAACTGAGCTATATCCCCAGCTCACTTAAGCATTCTTTTTTAAAACCAAAATGGCCTTGACAAGTTTTCCTATGCACAAAACTGCCCTCAGGGGCACCATGAAAACCTCATTGACACTGACTATTGCCACTTGGCCCCACAGTTCCCTGCCAGTCTCCCCATCTGTAAAATGCCCACCTCCTCCAGTGTGCTGGGGCTGCGATCGCAGTGCTGAGTGGAAGGGAGCATGGAACTTGGCTAGAAGATGTGGGCTGGAGTCAGCCCTTCTCAGCCACAGGCCAGCTGTCCTTGGGCATGGCTGACTTGCCTAACTGAACCTGATTCTCTAGGCCAGCTGCAGATACTCTGAAGACTGCATAGGATACAGGCCCTTTACCTCCCATCCTGGGCGCCCTACAGCACTGACCTCTCAAAAGTGAGAAAGACCAGCTATGTTTAACTTGGCTTCTGTGCTGCTCATTGCCTGAGAGCTTGGGCAATTTCCCAACCACACAGACCTTAGTTTCCCCACCTGTAAAATGGGGATAACGATAAAAGTGCTAATTGTTAGGACAGAGGATCAGAGGGTCCCGTTAGGCAGGCATCTGAAGTCATAATTCCTGGCATGTGTAGAGGGCTCAGGTGTGTTACACAAATAAGTCCGTCCCCACGGTAATGGCAAGAACAGTTTATCTCCTTTGACCCTCATGCAGCATGGAGGAAGGCAGCCCTCCTCTGAGCCCTTCTCCCTGCCTTGTCCTCTCATGCTGTTTACAGTCTCTCTGTGCTATGTCTGCTGTTCCTGCCTCCTGGTCACCTCTTCCACCCCTCTTCCCTGAAGAAGCCCTGGCTGACCTTGAAGGCTTGGCCTGGGTCCCACCTCCTCACAAGCTCCTCCTGTGTGTATATCTGCAGCACCGCTGTGCCGTCTCCCTCCACATTCCTGGGTGCCCCAGCTGCCAGGCAGCTCCCCCAGCAGACTGTGAGTTCCCCAAAGGCAGGGGCTACACTCCTCACCTGCAGCCCCATTGCCCAGCACAGCATCTAGAACAAGGAATCCAAACAGGAAGATTGACTATCATTGCGGAAATCTAGTTTATCCTCTATTCCTGGCCCCATCCAGGAACCCAGTCATCCAGGGTGAGATCTCCCTCTCCCTTGAAACGCTCGCCTAACCTCCTTCTTGCGACCTCCAGTCCCATCTATCTCACCACCTCCCTTGCCATGCCGTCCACTCTCTAGACCACTGTCCACAGCCTCCTAACTGGAGTCCCAGGTCCCATCTTGGCCCTTCTCCAATTCATTCTCTACACTGAGATCCTCATGTTTCAAGAAAGCAAATCTGGTCCTGTCCCTTCCCTGCTCACAACCAACCTTTCAGTGGCTTCTCCTTGCACAAAGAATAAAGAGTAAGGTCTGTTCGTGGTCATCCAGTTGAGTAGCCTGCTCCCACCACCTCCCTGGCTCCTGTGCCCCAGCCCCCAGGGTCCCCCCTGTTCCTTCAGCATGCCCAGCTCCTTCCCATTTTTATGGCTT